GCGAGACCCTGTTTCAAAAAAAAAGACAAAGGAAACCAAAGAAATTAAAATTCTTATGAGAAAAAAAAATTTTATGAGATGGCATCTCAAATTGACCTTCCTTCCCTTGGGTTAACTCAGAAACATCAGGAGATCTTACAGGTTGATTGTTATCTTCTTCTGAGTCAGAAGCTGATAAATTTGTTGTCAGTTAATGTTTTTGTTTCTTTTGCTTTTTTTAGAGGTTCCCAGTAAATATAGTTTTATACTTTTTTAAAAAAAGGTGTCCACTATATTCCATTAAGTAAAATGGCAGATCAGAAAACAATATATATGGCACTGTCAATTTTTTAATTTAAAAAAATTTTTTTGTTGTGAAATGGGGTCTCGCTATGTAGTTCAGGCTGGTCTCAAACTCACAGCAACCTTCCTACCTCAGCCTTTCTGAGTGCTGGGATTACAGCAGTGCAGCACCATGCCTAGCAAAACTGTATTTTTTTTTTAAAAGAGAAAAAAATACAAATAACAATCAAATAGTTTCAAAATAGATTACTAAGACAGTTACAATAATTAATACATTGCCTATTGTTATCTTCATAGTAGTAAAACTATATTTTTGTACAGAGATACAAAGAAATTGTCTGCAATTGTATTCACTTAACTGTCTTAACTTATCTCTGGAGATGAGATGCTAAGCACATTTTTCTTTTCAGTAGGAGCATTTTTGATTTCTGCTACTATAAAATATTTCTAACCACAAGAAATTAAGAATTGCTGTAAGAAGCTGGGTGTGTGGGCTGGGGATATAGCTCAGCGGCACAAGTGCTTGCCTGGTAAGCACAAGGTCCTGAGCTTGATTCCCAATACAAACAAACAAACAAAAAAAAAGTTGAGTGTGGTGGTGCACAACTGTAATCCCAGCACTCAGGAGGCTGAAGCAAGAGGATTACTCTGAGTTGAGACCAGCATGGGCTACATGCACAAGTTCAAGGCCAGCCTGCACTACATAGTAAGACCCTGTCTAAAAAAAAAACAAAAACAAAAACAAAAAAACTGATTAGACATCAATCACATAAAACTCATAGCCAAGACTGGAGCTAACATAAAAATTAATGGAAAGAAAATAAAGCCTGAGCTTTTGGGGGGGCGGGAGGGGCAGTACTAGAGATTGATCCCAGAACCTGCATGCTGAACTACACCCCTAGCCATTTTTTTCATTTTGAGACTGGGTCTCACTAAGTTGCCTGGGCTGAGCTTGAACTTACAGCCCTCCTACCTCAGCTGCCAGAGTGCTAGGATAACATGTGTGCAACACCAAGCCCAGACTAATTCACTTTCTTGATCATTCATTTTCCAACTCCAGAAAGCTTGAGTATCAAGGGAGTTTTTTCTGCATTCGCTTCTGTAACTTAAAGTCTCTAGCTAGCTGTGATCCCCAGAGGAGACTGACAAGATCACTACTCTGACTCAAAGACCAGCCATGAACTAGACATCTTTGGTTTCCCATATTCAAGCTGCTCCTATTTACCTGGGGTTTCTCCTCAGCACTGCAAAATAAATTTAAAGGTAAATAAAATGAACCCAGTGTCCCTCATTCTCCTTATTGCTTTAGAAAACAAAGGTTTGGGCCTGGTTAAGTACTTGCTTAGAGTCACAAAGTTAATCTATAAGGGAGCCAGGGCTTGAAGGGAGTGGCACTTGACTCGATTTAACCACTAGAATGGTCTCTGGTTGAACCCAACAACTCACTTGCAAATGAGCAAGACAGTGACTGAGGTGAAGCTTCCTGTTCTACAATGGCAGACCTTACCCTTAAGACAGTGGCAGCCACACTCTGGCAGCTCAATAAAACACACACCAAATGAAAATGTCGAAGGAGAATATTTCTCTTTTAGACCTGTAATCTACTTAGAATAGAAAGATTAAAAACAAGTCATCGTATATTATGTAGAAGTCCTTGTTGGGCATGGTGGCATACACCTGTAATCCCAGCACTGGGGAGGCTGAGGCAGGGGGATCATTGCAAGTTTGAGGCCAGCCTGGGCTACTACATAAGTGAGTTTGAAGCCAGCCTGAACTGCATAATGAGACCCTGTCTCAAAAAGACCAAAAAAAAAAAGAAGTCCTAAGCAGAGGCAGAATGAAAGAGAAAAGAGAAAACGGTAGTTCATCAGGAAGAGAATCGTCGTGGAAATAAGTGTTAATAGTTTCTCAATGCTTACACATTTATTAGTCTGAAAGTAATAAAGATATAAAAAAACTAAGAACTTGATGGGCCTTATAATAATGGAAGATATTAAACGCACATTACACAATCAACAAAAAGGAAGAATGTACTGCAGGGTACAAAACTAACAATATAGAACACAGAGAACATGAAAGAACAGAGATCAGTGGCAATATAAGAAAAGCTTCACCGAAACTGGGATATGAAAGTTTGAACAAATGTGTTTTTTTTTCCTGAGACAGGGTCTTGATATGTAGTTCAGACTGCCCTTGAACTCACTATGTAGCCCAGGCTGGCCTCAAACTCACGAGGACCCTGCTGGTTCAGCCTGCCGAGTGCTGGGAGTGCTGGGTGTGCTGGGATTACAGGCATGTAACAACACGCCCAGCCGAACAAATGATTCTTAAAACACAAAGACAGTTTGAACTGGGATGTCCAATATAAAGATTCAGGAGAGTATCTTCTATATATTTAAAAGACATTACTTATGGGCCACAGCACCTGTCACTTATTTGCACAATAAATAATGTGGGCTAAGTATTTGGGGGAGAAACTAAGGTGCAGAAATTAATTAATTTCCTTCAGAGTTTAAAAAAAAAATGTATCAATATCCAGTCCAGTGTCCTAGCAGACAAGCTGGAACTGCATTTCTACAAGAGGTGGAGTAATGGACACTAACATCACCTTCACAGCTTAGAGATCTACATGGTTGGAAACCCTCAGGCAGAAGCTACTGGGAGGTCAGGAATAGTAATTTAGAACTGATACCTTTTAGAGAAAGCAGAGACAGCCAAACTACTGAGATAATACTTCTGAGAAAGTTATACTCTACGTGACAATAAATAAAAACAGCCACTGCCCACGTGACTCCACAGAGGTGCACCTCTCTGGTATAAACCGAGATGCAAGCTCAACAGCAAAAGCTTTTCAAACTACAATGCTATTTGTTAGCACTTCCAGACTACAATACATTCAATGAAGGGGCTGGGGATTTAGCTCAGTGGCAAAGTGCCTGCCTGGCAAGCGCAAGGTCGTGAGTTCGGTTCCCGGTACCTGAGAAAAACCAAAAAAAAAAAAAAAACCAAAAAAAACCCAAAAAACAAATACATTCAATGAAGAACACAAAACACCCAAAACTCCAAAACTACTGTATTCAAACCGTCTTTCTTTTCAGACTCTGAGTGACCTTCCCAAAATTGAGCCGTTTTTATTTTATTTATTTATTTATTTTTGGTCATTTTGGAGACAGGGTCCGGCTATGTAGTTTGGGATGGCCTTGAGCTCACTTTGTAGCCCAGGCTGGCCTCAAACTCGCAACAATCCTCCTGCCTCAGCCTCCCAAGTGCTGGGATCAGAGGCATGCGCCACTACGCCCGGCAAAATTGAGTAATTTAAAAGTATTATTTCATTTTGATTTTCCCATTAATATGGCCAAGAACAATTTGCTTCACCACCACCTATACTCTGAAAGGGACCCACATCTGGAAAAACAGGAGAGTGAAAGAGAGAGAAAAGATAAGGTCACCTGCCTGAGGTCAACTACAAATCAGAGGGCATCAAGAATGGAATGAAAAGTTTTCTTAAGAGTTTCCTTTATCTCTAGGCATTTCAAAGACGCAAGCTGCTGCTCAGAACACTGCCTTGGAACATGCCTTCCAGCACTACAGGAAAATATAAACCAGGCAGGCCAGTAATCCCAGTAGCTGGGAGGCTAGAGTTCCAGCCCAGGCTGGGCAATTCAGGGAGACCCTGTATCAAAAGGGGGGCGGGACAAACAAAAAATAATCTGGGGATGGGGTTCAGTGTGCTCAGTCCCCGACAAGGGCGGGAAGCACGACTGATGGAAGAAGAGAGAAAAAAAGAAAATCTCTCTTCCAGCTGAGAGGCGAAGGAAGTGACCCTGGTAAGATGGGGAATATTTACACGCTCTTCTGGGTGTTTAGGGGACAGCGATAAACAAGAGCAACAGAGCAAGGAGAAACAGAAGAAGAGGACAGGACGTGTTAGCAGGGCTGTGACGATGAAGACGCTTCTTCAAGCTGAAGGGCAGGAGGGTGGGGACGTGGTCCTAGCTGTGGGGTGGCAGAGACTCCGATCGGAACCCTGCCTTCACCGGGGGGCTACCTAGGCACCGGCTTTCGAGTCGTCCTGTAATAGAAGGCGCCTCTCGGGAGCCGTGAGCATTTCAGGAGCACACGCCCGGAAGGCGCTTCTCCGGGCCCCGGCGCTGGTGAGCGCTCTCGGAGAGCGACGTCTTTTCAGTAACTCATCTCCATGTCCCTAAGGCCGAGAACGGTGCCTGGAGTCTCTGGGGGACGTGGGCAAGTCGTCCGACCGGACGCACGCAACGGGGAGGAAACGGAGGCAAGCGCGGAGCAGCGCGAACACCGCAGGGACGCGAGCGCGACTCCCGAGCAGAGCCCCGCAGAGCAGCCGGGCGCGGGGAGACCGCCAATCGCCCGGCGGGGCACGCGGGGGCTGCGTGGGGGGCCGGGTCGGCGCGGAGGTGCCGGCGGGGACTCGCGGGGGAGGAGGGAGGTCAAGAGACCCGAACGAGCAGCGGGGAGGCCGGCGCCACGGGAAGGGGACAGCAGCGGGCCCCCTGGGACAAGTGTCTTCAGAGCCCCACGCGCGGACCGTTTGGCCGTAACCGCCTGGCGTCTCGGCACCCGCACCCTCGGCCAGGGCTCGTCCCGCCACTGCCGCGACATCCCTCTCCCCACTCCCTCCAGGCTCCTACTCGGCTTGCAACCCGCGACTCCCAGCCACCCTGCCGACTCGGCCCGCTCAGCACCTCACACAGAACCTGCCGGCGTCCGCCGCCATCTTCACGCGCGCGCGCGCGCACCCTGGCCCCGCCCTCAGACGTCACGCCCACGTGACTGCTCGGCGCCCGACTGTGGCCTGCGGGCGTGGCCTCTGGTCACGTGACGGCGGCGCGGAGCCGGGCCAAGATGGCGCTGCCGGGGGAGCCGAGGCGTCCGCGGCGGGGGCAGTGGGTGCCGTGAAGAGCGCGGAGGAGGGGCGACGTCTGCACTGTCCGTTGCAGGCGGTGGAGGGTGACGGCGCCAGCTCCGGGGCCGCAGTGAATGGACTGCAGCAGCGCTCCCCGCTGAAAGCTGGAGGAGCTTGCTGGTCGGGTCCGCCTGGCGGGGTGAGGTGCCCAGAGGCCGAGCGTCCCTAGTCACTCGGCTTCCTCAGAGCCTCAGCCTGAAGACATGACCCGAGAGTGCCCGGCCCCGGCCCGGGAGCCCGGGGCGCCGCCGAGCGGGCCGGTGCTGGCCGAGGCTGCGGTGGTGTTCGCCGTGGTGCTGAGCATCCACGCCGCCGTGTGGGACCGCTACTCGTGGTGCGCTGTGGCCCTGGCAGTGCAGGCCTTCTACGTTCAGTACAAGTGGGACCGGCTGCTGCAGCAGGGCAACGCCGTCTTCCAGTTCCGGACGTCCGCAAACAGCGGCCTGCTGCCCGCCTCCATGGTCATGCCTTTGCTCGGGCTGGTCATGAAGGAGCGCTGCCAGGCTGCGGGGAACCGGCACTTCGAACGCTTTGGCGTGGTGGTGGCAGCCACCGGCATGGCGGTGGCCCTCTTCTCCTCGGTGTTGGCGCTGGGTATCACCCGCCCGATGCCCACCAACACCTGTGCCATCTCCGGTTTGGCCGGAGGTGTCATCATTTATATCATGAAGCACTCACTCAGCGTGGGCGAGGTGATCGAAGTCCTGGAAGTCTTGCTGATCTTTGTTTATCTCAACATGATCCTGCTGTACCTGCTGCCCCGCTGCTTCACTCCCGGGGAGGCCCTGCTGGTGCTAGGTGGCATCAGTTTTGTCCTCAACCAACTCATCAAGCGCTCTCTGACCGTGGTAGAAAGCCCGGGGGACCCCGTGGACTTCTTCCTGCTGGTGGTGGTGGTAGGGATGGTGCTCATGGGTATCTTCTTCAGCACCCTCTTTGTCTTCATGGACTCAGGAACCTGGGCCTCATCCATCTTCTTCCACCTCATGACGTGTGTGCTAGGTCTCGGCGTGGTCCTGCCCTGGCTTCACTGGCTCATCCACAGGAATCCCCTGCTCTGGCTTCTTCAGTTCCTCTTCCGGACGGAAATTCGAATCTACCTCCTAGTCTATTGGTCTCTGCTAGCCATCTTGGCCTGCTTGGTGGTGCTCTACCAGAATGCCAAGCGGTCATCTTCCGAGTCTAAAAAGCACCAGGCCCCTGCCATCACCCGAAAATATTTCCACTTCATTGTGGTAGCCACTTACATCCCGGGAATTATGTTTGATCGGCCATTGCTCTATGTGGCCGCCACTGTATGCCTGGCAGTCTTCGTCTTCCTGGAGTATGTGCGGTACTTCCGCATCAAGCCCTTGGGTCACACTCTGCGGAGCCTCCTGTCTCTCTTCCTGGATGAACGAGACAGTGGGCCGCTCATCCTCACACACATCTACCTGCTCCTGGGCATGTCTCTTCCCATTTGGCTAATCCCCAGACCCTGCACACAGAAGGGCAGCCTGGGCGGAGTACGGGCCCTAGTGCCCTACGCTGGGGTCCTGGCCGTGGGTGTGGGCGATACTGTGGCCTCCATCTTCGGCAGCACCATGGGGGAGATCCGGTGGCCTGGAACCAAGAAGACTTTTGAGGGGACCATGACGTCTATATTTGCACAGATCATTTCTGTAGCTCTGATCTTGATCTTTGACAGTGGAGTGGACCTCAACTACAGCTACGCCTGGCTTTTGGGGTCCATCAGCGCCGTGTCCCTCCTGGAAGCATACACTACACAGATAGACAACCTCCTTTTGCCTCTCTACCTCCTGATACTGCTGATGGCCTAGCTGCAGTGCAGCGGCAGTGAGGGAGGAAATGGACAGGGAGGAGGAGCAGCCCCGCGGCAGCTTGCAATTTGGCACAAAGAGCCGAGGGTTTGGTTTTCAGGTGATTCAGGTTTGGTTTTCAGGTGATTCAGACTGAAAATAAAAAAGGCAGAGCTCTTCTGATTTTAGTTTTGCTCATATTTATAAAGAAAAAAGTACAGGGACTGGGGATTTAGCTCAGCGGCACAGCGCCTGCCTGGCAAGCACAAGGTCATGAGTTCGATCCCCGGTACCAGAAAAAAGCCAAAAAAAAAAAAAGTACAAGTACTTAGAGAACTTGGGTGTGCTGTAGAGCCCCCTTCTCTCTTGTTTTGGGGAGGGGCTGGAGCCAGCTCATAATGGTTAGTGCTTCACATTCTGGCTAGAATTGTTGGCCCCGCGAGTCCTAACCATGCGACCTTAAGTGAGGCACTTAACCAGTCTGAGCCTCAGCTGTCCTGTCGGTTGACCTGGTGACACATCCAGCCTGTGGCCCACCCATGCCTAGAGACCAGTAAGGAAAACTCACTGTTGCCCAGTGAGTCCTGATCTGAGCAAAAAGCCAGGCGAGACGAGGGCTTTGATGGGTTGTGCTTGGAAACCAGTGTGACCTTTACTCTCCTGGCTTGGCTTAGAGGAGGACTGGGGGAAAGAGCCGAGGTCAACAGGTTCCACCCACTTAGACCCGGGGCTGAGGCCCTGTTTCAGCCTGCCTGACCGTGCTGATGGAGAAGGACAGACCAAGAGCACTGGCTTCCTGTCCACAGTCCCTCCTGAGAACTTGTCACGTTTTCAGTGCTGTCCAGTGTTTGTGTCTGGTGGCAAAGCCTAGGACAGATACATGGCACGCTAGACCTCTCCACTAGGGGGCGCACGCCCGTCCTGGCTCTGGTTCTGAACCTGCTTTCGGCTGCAGCCCCCCGGGGCCTGCACAGAGCTGGGGCAGAAGCAGGAACTTATGAGACCTGTGATGAACAGATGAATCTTTGGCACTACTGAAAACGAGTCCAGCAGGATCCCTGAGGCCAGACAAGGTTCTCACCCAGCCTGTCAGGAAGGGCTGAGAACTTTGGCCCAACAAGGCCAAAAGCCAGAAGCAGAGCTCTAAGGAGCAGGGAATCACTGCCAGGTCTCCAGAGGAGACACGCAAGTTCCTTTATGGCTGGGGGAAACAAGCCTTTTCCCCCAGGCTTCAGGGCGGCCAGTTGGAGAAAGAGTGCTGGTTATGCCCACTGACTACCCTTGGGAAAGGGTTTTCTGCTCTGGGCCTTACAGAGGGTAGAGGAGAAGCCAGGGGCACTGGCACAGCCCCAGAGCCTGGGCAGGTGACAGGAATGAGGACAGGGAAATCCACTGGCTCTCTAAGGAGGCGGCCCCAGCCAGTAGTCACCATGCTAGAACGTAGGCCCAGGGTCATTAGCTGCCAGTTGCGTGCTCATTCATGGAAACCTGGGTTATTATGTGAAATCTCTCAATTAAAAAGAAACATTTGGCTGGGTGTGGTGACGCCTACCTGTAATCTCAACACTTGGGAGGCTGAGGCAGGAGGATCACCATGAGTTCGAGGCCAGCCTGAACTACATAGCTGAGACCCTGTCTCAAAAAAAAAAAAAAGAAAATTGCCAGGCATGGTAGCCCACACCTGTAATCCTAGTATTCAGAAGGCTGAGGCAGGAGGAGTGCCATGAGTGGGAGGCCAGCCTGGGCTTATAGTGAGTTCAAGGCCAACCTCAACTACATAGTGAGACCCTGTCTCCAAAAATCAAACTAATTAAACATTTTGCGGGGCATGGTGGTGCGCACCTATAATCCCTGGTAATCCCAGCACTTGGAGGATGAGGCAGGAGGATTACATTTGACCCCAGCCTGAGCAGTTTATCGAGACTCTGTCTCAAGGACTAGGGATATAGCTCAGTGTGAAGGCCCTGAGTTCAATCCCTAGTACTGGAAAAGGAAAAGAAAAAACCCACAGTTTTGCTGGGGATTGAACTCTCGGCCTCACACTTGCCAGGCAAGTGCTTTACTACTGAGCTACACCCTCCCGCCAAAAAGTTGTTTTTCTAACACTGAGGAAAAGTTGTTTTTCTAACACTGAGGCCCAGATCAAGCACATCTGAGGCCTGCGGTCAGCCAGTAAGAACCCAGGCTGTGACCTCTGGGCCAGAGCCTGGCTAAACAGGTTTGGGGTTTGGTATCTGGTCCAGGCCTGGGTGCCCATGTGCCCGAGGAGGAGGGGGTGGTGCCTGGAGGACCTTGTTCAGCCCCATGGGGCCCTGAGAGAGGAAGGACATGGCCTGAGGCCCAAGAGCAAGCAGGTCACAGCGCCAAGATTGCACCTGGGACTGGGTTCCTAGCCCTAGGCCGCTGTCCCTGCCCCAGCAGAGTAAGGGGCAGGGTCAAGGTGAGCTCAGGCCTCGACCGGCTGGGGCAGGTCACTCGCTGGTTCCCTAACTCAGTCCCTTTGGCCACAGGCCCAATAAGAGTATGAGCCTCTGCAGGTGGGAATTCAGCACAGCCATACACAGTGAGCACTCACTCAGCAAAAGTTACTCGGAGTTATTAAAGTCATGCAAACTAAGGCCAGGCGTGGTGGTACACACCTGTAATCTCAGCACTTGGGAGGCTGAGGCAGGAGGATTGCTGTGCATTCAAGGCCAGTCTGGGCTATGTCGTAGCAAGACCCTCTGAAAAAAACAAAAACTAAAAGCATGTAAACCAGGCCGGGGTGGGGGCCAGGGAGGATTCCCACCAGGCTGTCATCTGGAGAGCAGAGCTGCTTGATACGGAAGGATCCACGGGCAAGCCGCTTCAGAAATCCCTTTTATTGTCTTACAATGCTGTCATCAGAGTTCTGCAGGAGAAGCGGCAGGAACTTGCTCAGGGCCTCAGACTCCTCCAGGAGCGAGTTGTGCGGGGACATGGAGTGGCAAAGGGACAGATCTTGGGGAGCCCACCTGCCTCCTGTCTGCAGGGCTGAGGGGCACAGACCCTGGCACGGGGAGGTGCAGGAGGGGAGACTCGGCTCCTGTTGCTGCAGCAGGCGGGTCCAGAGAAGCCCGGGGCACTGGGAGGGGACAGCCCCGCCCTGCACAGGCCTTCAGGTGTACAGTGAGGGAAAGGGCAGCTCTGCTGTCGGCTGCAGCCTGCAAGAATAGAAAGGCGACCTTGAGAAGCCAGGGCCGCTGCTGTCAGCAGCTCCCCGGGGGACTGGGACACACACACCGGCCACCTACCAGTTCTCTGGGCTCCAGACAGTGCCCTCGGCCTCCATGAGGTGCAGCGTGTAGACATGGCGGGAGCGGTCCGAGAGGTTCTGCGCACTCTTGTGCACCACTTCCCCGTGGATCAGGACCAGGGCGCCTGGCAGGAGGACACCAGCCCTGTGGCTCCCCTTCCTAGGGCAGGAAGGGATGCTCCTCCCAGGAGCAGCTTAGTGTCCCCCACCCATCCCCCATTCCTGTCCCTGAAAGCTTGGGTGCCCAGCATGGCGTCCAGACGCTGGGCCTTAGGATGAGGCACCCTGCACTGTGGCCTTGGAGAGCCCATGTGGGCCGGATCAGGCAGCCGCTCTACCGAGCTGGGCCTCCCGCGCTCCTTCCCCATGCAGAAGAAGGGTGCTCTTAGCCAGTGGTTGTGAAGCCCCTGCTGCAGGCACCAGGCTGATTGGCTGTACTGAATCATACTCCGTAATCATCTCACTGCCTTCCTCACTTTACATGTGGGGACACTGAGGCTCAGAGAGTTTCTGCCATTTGCTCCAAGAAGCTTCCTGTAAGGAGCAAAATCTGGATTCTCGCCTGATCCAGGCAGCTTGCTGGTGACCGCATGTTTCCCGGCTTCCGGTGCCTGGCCAGCCCTGCCTCTCCCATGCTGTGACTTCGCCCCCAAGGGTGACCCTGAGCGGGAGCCTCTCGGCTGCTGGTGGGGCATGCACAGACCCTGCGCATGACCGCCTGCTCCCTGGGCCCCACCTACCTCTCTGCACGGGTGCGGGCACAAAGAGACTGTCATCCCGGTCTGGCTCTGAGCCCAGGTAGCTGGTGCCATCCGGCCGGCGGATGAACCTCCTCGCCACACCCCCTGCGGACCAAGAGGGAACTTCAGTCCCCCTTCCCACCGGGGCTGCTCCAGGGGGCTGGGCAGGGAGAGACAGATGGGCCTCACCAGTGTGGGAGCCAGGAATGAACCAGAGACAGCTGTTCTCCAGGGTGGCGTCCTCCAGCGCGATCCATATGCCCACTACCCGGCCCAGCGGCTCCGTGTACAGGAAGGTGGAGTCCTGGTGTGGGGCAACTACAGCGGGCGCAGCGGGATGAGGAGCCAGCCCTTCGCCTGGCCTCTCCTTGCCTTGTCCTGTTTCCCAACCCATGGTCCCCTTGGAGCCCTCCAGGCCAGCCTTCCCAAAGTCAGAATCAATCAATTCATTCTTCCTTCCTTCCTTTCTTCCTTCCTTCCTTTCTTCCTTCCTTCCTTTCTTCCTTTCTCTTTCTTTTTCTTTCTTTCTTTTTCTCTTTCTTTCTTTCTTTCTTTCTTTCTTTCTTTCTTTCTTTCTTTCTTTCTTTCTTTCTTTCTTTTCTGGTTTCTTGAGGCAGGGTCTCACTATGTAGTTCAGGCTGCCCTCAAACTCATGGCAAACCTCCTGCCCCAGCCTCCCAAGTGCTGGGATTACAGGCGTATGCTACCATACCTGGCTCCTTCCCAGGTGACTATGTTCAACAGGCTCATCTTGAATTCATGGGCTGAGGTGATCCTCCTGCCTCAGCCCCCAATACCTGTGGTACCTGGGACCACAAGTATGCACCGCCATGCCCAGCTCCTTACGGTGTGTTATCTAAACACCAGACTGAGACTCTGGACAGTGTCCAGAGAGGGTGTCCAATGGCAGGAGCCTCAAAGGATTTGGAGAGGACAAGCTGGAGGGGCTGGTAGGGGCAGAGCAGGCTCCAGGGCTGTGGGCACCCGTCAGGGACTGCCTCAGGGGCAGGGATGCTCATAAGGAGAAGCCTGGGCTCGCGGAAGGAAGGGAAGGGCTGCCAGTGAGGAGGTCGGTGAGCTCCCTGCCACCAGTCGCCCACCAGGAATGTCTAGAAAGGGTGTCTGCCTCTGGTAGGGTGTGGACTGGATCAGCAAACTGCATGCCGAATTAATCCTCCAGGGAGCTTGTTAAAAATACAATTTTCTCAGCCAGACATGGTGGCGCACGCCTGTCGTCCTGGCACTCGAGTGGCTGAGGCAGGAGGATTGCTGCTAGTCTGAGGCCAGCTTATGCTATGCAGTGAGACCCTGTTTCAAAAGAACAGCAACAAAAGATCTTTTCCAGGCCAAAATGGATCTCCTGGCCTAAGGTCTGAGGCCCTAGGACTCTATGTTAAGTTAAAGCCTCCTGTTAAATTCCAGGACCGCTGTGCCAAGGGTTTAACAGCTGAAGGGCTTGCCCACCCCTGAGGCCCCACCGCTGGCTCTGGGCTCACCTTCGCCCCCGATGCGGGGTTGCTGAAAGAGAGGGGAAGAGGCTGGTGAGGCGGGGCCGAGCAGGTGGGAGCTCTGACCCCGGCTCCGGCTCCACTTGGGTCAGCACCTGGCTGGTGCTGACCCACGGAGCCCCTGCTGGTGCCAGGTCCAGGACGGAGCCAAAGGCCGCAAGGCCAGGAAGCCGTAGTCCGCACGGCCTCAGCAGCGGCACAGAACAGAACCTGGTGAGGGCACGACAGGCTAGAGGGGGAGTGTTGGGGTCCCCGGTCTGGTTGGGTCCTGCTCTTCTCAGGGGCTCTGGGAGGCTTCTTAAAGGAGGCCCTGAGCTGGGCCTAGAGAGCTGAGAGTAGAGCGTTTCAGTAGGAAATCCTGGGTCCCCTCTCCTACCACTGTGTGTGTGTGTGTGTGTGTGTGTGTGAGTGTGCATGTGAGTGTGATACCAGGGTGCTGTACCACTGAGCTACACCCCAGCTCTTTTTCAGCTGTATTTTGAGACGGAGTCTTGCTAAGTTGTCCCAGCCAGCCTTGAACTTGTGATCCTCCAGCCTCAGCCCAGCTTCCGCCACCAAATTGTAACTGAGCACCAGCTAGCGGCCCCTCAGCCAGAGACCAACTTTACATTTTCTCCCACCAACTTCATGATTCTAGCAGCTTTGGCTTCTTCTACAAAAGGGCTTTTGCTTTGTTCTGTTGAGAGAGGGTATCTATATGCAGTTCAGGCTGATCTTGAACTCACTATGTAGCCCAGGCTGGCCTTGAACTCGTGATGATCCTCCTGCCTCAGCCTCCTGAGTGCTAGGGTTACAGGCGTGCACCACCACGCCTGCCTTACAGGAAGATGCTCTGTATGCGCAGTCTGCCCATTTCACAGAGGAGGAAATGAGGGGGCGGATTGGACACAGAGCTCACCTTGAAGATATACATGCTCTGTACCACCACGGGCTTCTGCAGGCCCAGACTTCTGGCCAGAGCCTGGAAGGGAACAGAGAGGACGCTGCCAGCCTGGCCCTGCTCAGGCTCGGCCCCCACTCGCCCTGGCCCCACCCCGCCCGGCCACGCTCACCTGCATCTTGGGGGAGTGTGTGATGCTCTTGAAGACAGGGTCGTGGGCGTGCAGAGCTGTGGGACAGAGCGGGACAAGGCCAGTCTCGGCCTCACATGTCTCTCCCACACCCTTGACACCAGACTCACCAGTGTTAGTTAGTCACCTACTTTGGGTGCAGTGTCTTTGGGTTTTGTTTGTTTGTTTTGGTATCGGAATCGAACTCAGGACCTCACGCTTGCCAGGCAGGATGTGCTGCTGAGCTACATCCCCTGCCTGCTTTGTTGTTTTCTGAGGCAAGGTCTCCATATTCAGTCCAAGCTGGCCTTGAACTCATGATGATCCTCCTGCCTCAGCCCCCTGAGTGCTTGGATTACAGGTGTGTGCCACCACGCCCAGCTCCGGTGCATTAAACTTTATGCTTATTTTATAGCCAAGTGACAGGCTCCACGTACACCTTCAGCCCACCCAGGACCGCATTCGCTCTGACCTCTGGCCATCCGGGAGCTTGCTGCAGCTCTGACTCCCACCCCTCCCGGGGGACAAAGGACTCCACCATGAGGCCTGTCACTTGGGGGGGACCTCCATCCTGCCACATCCTCTCTGTCTTGTGAGCCTCAGTCTCCCGCTCTGTGGAATAGGGATGAGGACAGCCCGCCTGTAGGGGTTGCTGAGGAGCCCATGGCTGACACCAGCCGCAGTGGCCCAGGGCTGGGCATGTGGCAGGCACTCGTTACAATAGTTGTATTATTTTCATTATTACAAAAAGGGAGGATCGAATGTCTGTGATGCTACTGAATGATATACTTTAAAATGCTTCTGCTGGTTTTTATGTTATATGGATTTTACCACAACTTGTTTACAGCCCTTCCATGATTTGACTTCCAGTTTGAAAATAAGCACTCTGTAAGCTGAGGGTGATGGTGGACACCTGCACTTGGGAAGGCTGAGGCAGGAGGATCGCTACGAATTTGAGGTCAGCCTGGGCCACATAGTGAGTTCAAGGCCAGACTTGGAACTCTTCGGACCTCAGGCTCCCCATCTTCTGTCTGGTACCCCGCCCCTGCTCACCGTGGCCGATTTTGTTGATGGCTTTCTCCGGGGGAACCAAGAACTCTCCTGCGGCACAAAGAACAGGCAAAGGCAGAAGCGCTGGAGCCCAGCGTCCCTCGGACAGCGGGCCTGGTGTCCACCCGGCCCCAGAGGGCAGGCACAGGCCCAGGCCAAGCCCGCGGCCGCTCCCAGCCCTCTCCAGGGCCCAGCGCCAAACCTTTCTCATCGAAAACATCTTTCTCAAAGAAGAAGCGAATCTTGTCCCCGCTGTTCAGGAAGTAGTCGGAGATGCACTGCGGACAGGACAGGGAGGGACTGAGACAGCAGCCCGGGGCCAGAGCGGGCCTGGCGAAGGAGGGAGGTGTCCAGGTGCTGCCCCTCTAGACGGCTATGGGCGCCCCTCCCGGGCAGTCGGGCCCACGGAGGCACAGAAGCCTGAAGCACTGCCTGAGCTACGGACACCGGAGTTGTTGAAAGTCACTTATTACGCCTGCCCCTCAATGTACAGTGGGGCTCGAACCAGATAAACGCGGCATCATGGCCTCGCATTGCCTGCCTTAAGCATGCTCAGAGCACTCCCATCAGCTGACTGTTATCTTGGGTGTTTTGTTTTGTTTTGTTTTGAGATAGGGTCTCACCGTGTACCCCAGGGTGGCCTTGAACTCACTGTGTAGCCCAGTGAGTCCCCCGGAACTCACAGGCATCCTCTTGTCTCAGCCTCCCCAGGGCTACCACACTTGGCAGCAAGACCCCATCTCAAAAAAAAAAAAAAAAAAATTCAGCGTTGGGGATGTAGTTAGTTTAGTGGTAGAGCATTTCCTGGGGTGCATGAGGCTCTGGTTCAATCCCCCATCTCTCTCTCTCTCTCTCTCTGTCTCTCTCTGTCACACACACACACACTCACACATGCACGTGTGTCAAGGTGCAGACGTGCCTCCCTTGCACGGCACCGGAAGGTAGAAGAACCCTAGGCTGCACTGTCATCGCAGGCCCCTCCTGCCGCTCCTGCCCCTGCCCACTGGGCTCTGCACATTCGCAGAAGGCAGTTTGCAGGGCACAGAGCTAAGCCCCTCACTCCTCGGAGCGCTGGAAGGACCCGACTGTCTCTGCTGCAGGACCGCTCTCCGGCTTCCTTAGCCAGAAAGGCGGGCAGCGGCCGAGTGAGAGCCTCAGTACCCCTTCGCAAGACTCCAATCACCGTTATTTGGGGCTCCTGTAATTCCCTGTGTGCCCACCAGATGGCAGGCGCTCCTCGACGGAGTGAATGGGTCCCGCCAGCCGCCTGGACCAGAGCTGGGCTGCCTATGCTAGGCCTGGGCCGCCAGGCAAAGTACAGCTCAGTCTTCGCAGGGAGCAGGGCAGGAGACGTACCCACCCTTCCCAAACTGCACCGAGCCCTAGGAAGCAACCAGAGCTTCTCTTTTCTTATTTCTCTTGTCTTTTTTTTTTTTTTTTTTTTGAGACAGAGTCTTGCTGCATAGCCCAGGCTGGCCTTGAACTTGAGGCAATTCTCCTGCCTCAGCCTCCTGAGTGCCGGGATGACGGTCGCCCCATGCCTGCTTTGGTGGGGGTTTAAGAGTCACACGCAGGCCCATCAGAATCACAGGGCCACTCTGGCACGCTAGCCACAGAGAGGGCCCTTGTGGTCGGACAATCTAAGGAGCACAGCAGAGCACTTGAACAGCACCAGTCGGAATCAGCTGGGTTCGAATCCTGCCTCTGTCAGTTACTGTGTGGTTTGGGCCGAAGCCTCACCTTCGCCACCTTTCACGGGATCGGGATGATTTTCCTGCCTTATCAACGCCCGGTGCTGAGGGAAGCGGGGAGCGAGGTGCCCGAGTTTGTGCTGCCCACGGACAGCTGGCCGAGCCCCGGCCAGAAGCAGCCTCAGCCTCGGAGGCCTCCCTCCAGCACCCTCCTCCCCGGCCCGGCACCCACCTGGGCACGCAGCTGCTCCTCCTTATGGGTGGTGAACACTGTGCGACAGTGCTCGGGGACGTCCATCTCGGCCACGAGCGCCGCGATCCTCTGCTGCAGGGCCGTGCACTCATCCAGAGACAGGAACCCTTCCAGCACCAGGAACCCATCGTCCTGGAACTGCAGGGGGAGCGAGGCTCAGGTGCCCTGTGCCCTCGGATGCACCTTGTCACGTGTGTGTGTGTGTGTGTGTGTGTGTGTGTGTGTGTGTGTGTGTGTTTCTGTTTGTTTGTTGAGAGAGGGTTTCTCTATGTAGCCAGGCTGCCCTGGAACTTATGGTGCTCCTCCTGCCTCAGCCTCCCGGGTGCTGGGATCACAGGCCACGCCCGGTTTACCTCGTATTTGATCCCGGCCCTAAACCTGAAGCTGCATAAGGGTGAAGGTAGGGGGCCCGTGCATGCTCTATCCTGCACCCGCCACATGGTGTTTTGTGTCCGGACGAGTATCAGCTGCTTGGAACTTAGGAGAGAGGGAAGGGCAGGTTGTCCCTGGGCATGTCCTCTCCTGTCCTGCACAGGTGTCACGAGGAGATACAACCTCGTGTTCCAGCCATACTCACTGAGCACCCACCACATGTGAGGTGTGGCTATCAGCGTGGAGCTTACGGACCACTAAGGAGACCAGTGGCACACCAGTGCTGGCCCTAGTGGGGGTGTCACAGGCTCAGTGGGGGGGGGAGGGCAGCTGCAAGAGCGAAGGGCAGATGGGAAGGAAAAGTGTCCTAGGGCAGCAGCTAGGAGGAAGTGACACAGGGTGCTGGTTGGTGGCACTCGCCTGTCATCCCAGCACTCAGGAGGCTGAGACGGGAGGATTGCGATGAGTTTGAGGCCAGTCTGGGCTACATAGTGAGACCTTATCTCAAAATAAATAAATATTAAATTTAAAATAAAGGGGACCTCAGGATACTGGGCAGTGAAGAGATGAGGAAGAGCCCCACAGACAGAGGGAACAGGATGTGTGCAGCCTCTGAGCATGGGAGGAACAGGACAAGGGAGGAGGTAGGACGGTGGCAGGGTGAGGCCGCTGAGGGGGCAGAGTGGGCGGCTGTGACCTGGCCCTAGTCCTCCTCTTCGGAGGCTGTGACAGTAACAAGCGGGAGAGGAAGACTGCGTGCTTTGGGCAGAGTGGGATGGCGTCAGTGCTGGCAGATGTGACGTCCCGCCCCGACGTACCCCAATGCGCCGCCTGATTCCCAGCTCCCGGCCCACACCAGCCCTGCGGGGCGCCCGGTTCAGGCTGCCACACACTGGATGCTGGAATATGCATGACTGCGTGTGTGTGGGCCCTGCTGCCTCTGGCCAGTGCTGTGTGGCAGAAACTGACTCGTATCTGTATCAGGATGAACACTGGCAGGGCTAGGGCTGTAGCTCAGTGACACGGCACCCGCCTGGCAAGTGCAAGGTCCTTAGTTCAATTCCTAGTACAAAAACCAAGATGAACACAGGTGAGCTGGGTGTGGTGGTGCCCACCTATGATCCCAGTACTCGGGAGGCTGAGACAGGAGGATCACTGTGAGTTTGAGGCCAGCCTGGACTACGTAGTGAGTGCAATACCAACCTGAACTACAAAATGAGACCCTATCACAAAAACAAAATTTTTTTAAACATAAAAATAAAAGATAAAGATGAACATGAGCTCCTTGGGAACTGAGCTATACACACATATTGCATAACCTTGATCCAGTAAACACCCTAGTAAGACTCTGTGTGTGTGTGTGTGTGTGTGTGTGTGTGTGTGTGTGTGTGTGT